CAACTTTAATTTCTCCTATGAGTGGACTTACTAGAAAAAATCGGAAATTTTGTTGGGATGCAGAAGCGGAATCTTATTTTAGTAAAATTAAGGAACTTTTAGTGTCTACCCCTATTCTGTCACGTCCTGATTTTTCGAGAGAAAGTTTTGACGATGGGGAACATGTCATAACTTACGCTAGCAGAGCCCTGACCACACAGGAGTCAAAATTTTCCACTACTGAATTAGAGTGTCTTGCGGTCCACTGGGCTATTAAAAAATTCCGATGTTACATAGAAGGTGTAAAATTTAAGGTGATCACTGATCATTATTCATTGCTTTGGCTCCACAAACTTCAAAATCCTTCAGGTCGTCTTGTACGTTGGTCTTTACAGCTACAAAGCTTTGATTTTGAAATCATTCATCGCAAAGATACTTCCAATGTGGTGCCAGATGCTTTGTCCCGAGCGGTAGCTTATATTGAAGTTAAAAAGGAAAATTATGATGATTGGTTAAGCAGGGCTATTCCACGGTAACTAGAGCATTGCATTTTATCACCTTTCTTGAAAAGTGGTACGAGTATAGCTTCATTCCAATTTTTTGGCATTTTCTCCTGTATCCAGATTTGTTGCAATAATTTATGAATCCATTTGGCCAACTCTTCCCCACCATATTTAAACCATTCTGCTGCTATCTGATCTTCTCCAATACTCTTGTTGTTTTTCAATTTATGTATAATATCTTTTACTTCAGTCAATGTTGGCGTATCTTGTCTTTGTTCCTGTCTGAACTTCCAAATTTACTTCTGCTTCTTGGCTCTCATCTTCGTCTCCATTTAATAATTTGTTACGTTGCACTTTTATCTTACTCATTTTTTTTTCATTTCTAATCGTATTTTAAAGTAAATATAAATAATTACAATTCTAGTAAATTAATTCAGTTCATTAGCTCAGAGCGTTTAATGAATAGAAAATTTTATTAAAAATGTAGCGCGAATGCTTCTGCTTCCGCATACGCTGTCCCCGCGTTAGCTATCTACATTTCCTTAGACACACAAAAAGGTTGCTGGTCGAGGTTCGAGGATTTTTCCTATCGAGTATTCAGGCAGTTGTTGTTAAGCGAATTTCGTTGTTCTGTGCCGATTTGTGCATTCCAATATAGTTGGGAGTTTTATCGAAATTCACTTTTGAATGTGATTTATGTATTGGTGTGACTATAATCACAGTTCACGACTTATGTCGGATTCTAAAGCAATTGATCTGTAAGTAATCTTTTCTGGCCCACGTGGTTCTTATTCTAACTATTATTTCCTTAATCTACAGGATGCTCATATTATAGCCAATAGGATAGTTCTAACGAACCACTGAAATATATATCTATGTACATTTAGATATTTATCCCAGATACCAGATTGGACTACAATTGAAGCCGCCCTATATCCTTGAGTAAGTTTTTTACCCTACTTTCAACAATTTAAACCTTTTGTGTGAGCCTTAGGTGTGGTAATCTCAAAAAAAAAGAAAAGACATTTATTATTCGTGCTATTTTAGGGCTTCGTGAATTTACCTATTCGTTCGTTCGAACCTATTCTTCCACCTTTATACTGGCTGTCTCGCATTTGGGGCTTGTTATTGAACGTCGGATTGTTATCCTCCGATTTGGTTGACGTCGCTTATATAGGACAAGTGGATCCAACTAGGAAAGAAGCATTCGCCTCTCCAGGAATATTGTAAGATCAGCAATTTGTCATTGCCATTGCAAAAGGTCAGATTTTTCCGTTATTATTATTCTTTTTTTTATTGTGACTTTGATTATCAAGTTTGCTACGGAAAGTCTATTGGAGCAAATTCAAAAATTTAATTGCTAAGTTTATTTTAACATCTATGCAACTGAGTACAACATATATTATAATAGTTTTTTTTTAATGTGTTTAAATATAAATTTCCTTATTTTTATGTCATAGTAATAAGATTGTTGGTCTGTATTTCAAATAAGTTTGGCGATATTTATGTGCATTTATATTTATATTTTTTTTTACGCCATTTCTTGAATTAAGTGATATGTATTTATGTGATTAAAATATTTGATTGTACGCCTTACGTGATCACGATTGGCACGCCCGAAATTCTAAAGATAGTACTTAAATTTAACTATCTTTAAAGTAGCCGTAAATATAACTATCTGTCCACATACATATTTATTTAAATTATCTATTTCTTTCTTCTAATAAAAATTCTTCTATATCGGAAGATTTTCATATGGTATTTAATTTTTTTTTGTTGTGTTTACCATCACTTTACTATAACATTTTAACTTTAATTGCAAAAAAAGAGTCGTAGTTTGGAAAACCGGTCAATCTGGGAACCTCCTAGCAGGGTTGCGTTTTATTGCTAGTGGCGCCCTAGATTTTGATATCTGTACTTAAAATATTTTACTGAACCTACACCCTTCAGGCTGAGTGATTTGTCGGCACTTTTGTTACGCACTTACGCTTCCAAACTACCTCTACGTTTTTTTTATTAATTTTTTTCCCTTTTCTCTTTTTTTATATATGTGTATATATTTTGTACAACTAGTTTTTTTAAACAAAAAAGTATAACCAAGCGTAGCAAATTTCTTGAAATATTCTTCCCATTGTTTCAATATGCCATCCTCGTCCCCTATTAATTCCCCTGTCTTTCAAATATCCTGGTTTAGGCTGATATCCTTCCCTTTCGCGCTTTATTCCGTGGCATAATCTTCTTATTTCTTTATTTTTGTAGTTTTCCTGGATTTCCTCTAGTAGCCCCGCTGTATAGACTCTTTTTCTTTCTCGCAGCAGTTTTTTACATTTATCTCTTTGCTTCTTATATGCTCTTTTTGACTCATCGGTTCCATTCTTAAACATCACTAATCTTAGTTCTCTCTTTCCTTCTAATTCTTCCTCACATTTTCTATTAAACCATNCTCTTTTTCTTTCTCGCAGCAGTTTTTTACATTTATCTCTTTGCTTCTTATATGCTCTTTTTGACTCATCGGTTCCATTCTTAAACATCACTAATCTTAGTTCTCTCTTTCCTTCTAATTCTTCCTCACATTTTCTATTAAACCATTTTCACTTCTTTTGTTCCTTCTATTGGTATTTTCTTTCACAACTTCTGTCATTTCTTTTCTTAAGTTTTGCCAAAGGGTGTCAGCATCCTTAGAGTCTGGAATCTTATTTAAGTTATTACATAATTCTCTTCTATATGCCTCTTTTTCCTCTAACGATTCTAATCTGCATACCTTTCTATTTGATTTATCTTTGTTTTTACTGTTTTTCGCCTCTGGAATTTCTTGCCTCATTTTAATTCCCACCAAAAAGTGATCTGAATCAGCGTCTGGTCCTCTATAGCTTCTTATATCCTTTATACATTTCTCCTCTTCCTTCTGTATAAGCACATGATCGATCTGGTTTATGTAAGACCCATCCGGTGATCTCCACGTTCCTTTATATACAGGGTGTTCCTAAATAAGTGTCGCAACGGAAAACTGTAAATTCCTCTTGAAAAAAGAAACATTCTTTTCCTCTTCCATTTTTCTCTCCGGGTTTTCGTTTTCGAGATACACGGTGTCAAAATTTTCATTTTTTTTTTAAATTTTTTGCCAATATCTTAGGAACCGTTTGAACTACAGGACTGAGTTTTTGTACACGCATTACCACTATTAATAGCTACTTTTTCGCACTTTTCTCGAATTCATTGAACGTGCCACGTGGAGATTTTAAGGTATCGTCAGGGTTTTTCCCCCTAACTTTTACGCCACTGGAAAAATTGACATGTGACAGCAAATTCTGAAGCGCCAATGAATTTTACACAAAAAGAGTTCTCTTGGTTCATTGCTCTAAAGTCAACCGTTTTCAAGAAAAATGACTTTATGAAGAAAAACAAACATTTTGCTAACGCTTCGAAAATCTTTTGTGATTCAAAAGATAGGTAGTAATAATTAACAATTTTAACGAAATTTAACAACATTTGCTACAAGTAGCTATTAATAGTGGTAATGTATGTACAAAAGCTCAGTCCTGTAGTTCAAATGGTTCCCAAGATATTGGCAAAAATCTGAAAAAAAATTTTGACACCGTGTATCTCGAAAACGAAAGCTCGGAGAGAAAAATGGAAGAGGAAAAAAATGTGTCTTTTTTTCAAGAGGAATTTACAGTTTTCCGTTGCGACACTTATTTAGGAACACCCTGTATATCCTTCTTTTCGAAATATGTGCTCTTTATTATCATCCCTTTCTCTTTCGCAAAATCAATTAGCAATTGTCCATTCTCATTACTTTCCTTATGTTTACTGTAGGTACTTCCCAACTGTGGGCCTAAAAATGTCTTCTTACCCAATTTTCGCATTTGCATCTCCCAGAACTATTTTAAGGTCATATTTTGCCAACTTATCGTAGGTATTCCATATCAAGCATATTATAGAATTCTTCTTTTTCGTCTAACTGCGATTGGTGCACTCTGTTGGTGCATGTATGTTTATGAAAGCCATTTTTTGGTATTTCCCTCTCATTCTTAAAATACACATTCTTTCCGACACCGGTTTGAACTGAATAACTGCTGCTTTTAACTTATTATGTATCATAAAGCCCGTTCCTAGCATTCTATTCTTCCCTCCACTATTAAATAGCATATAGTCCTCAATTTCGACAATTTCGTTTCCTTTCTGCTTTGTTTCCTGTAGTGCCACTAAATCAACTCTATTTTTTTTATTTCACGGCTCAAATGTTTTAAAGCCCCTTCCTCATACGTCCCCCGGACATTCCATGTCCCTATTCTTAGATTAATTTCAACTTTCCCGCACTTTTCTTTCTTTTTTGTTTCATATTTTTCCGTATCACTTTGTTCCCTTTCCTGTTATTTATGTCACTTTGTTTAATTTTACCAACCTCTCTACCCAGTTTTTGTTTGCTTCTTAAAATATTTACTGTTTCTACTTCTTTATCGTCGCTTTTCCCACTCACAAGCTTTTTATTTGTCACGTCCCCTTCAATATATAAAAATGGCGCCGACTGGCAAGTCACAAGAGAGTGTAGCTCCTCAAAAAACGTGTAAAAGATGTAAAGTCATGGCCTTATCGGGTCTCAAGTGCATCAAGTGTGATACTGTGAGCCACAATGGCTGTGTTAAGCTTTTGAAAAATGTAATCTCTGTTGAGCTTGATGAAATAATTTGCTGTGCTGGCGACCAGACTACAACAGGCAATGAGGCAGAGTTTTATGATGCCCTGGATGAAAGTCAGTGGAAAAAGGTAGATCCGAAATTGTTTACTTATATAATTAAGCAAAAGGACACCCTGATAGGTGTACTATATGATAAGATAAATGTATTAAATAAGCATATTGAATTACGATGTAATGAACTAGTATTATTTTCCGTTTTGTGCAAAGCCGCTGGCCAGTTATTTATTTAATTAGTTTAATTGGGTGAGAGCAATTAACCGCGAGTCGAGCCGAAACCGTCCGCTGCCCCACTCTGGCGAGGGCCGCGCGCATAATACAACCACGACTCCTGCCTAGTCAAGGGGGGATTGAAGCAATAAAACCAGCAGTCCTGCACGAAGATCCTCAGTTCGCTGCCAGAACTCGAAGAACTCCAACACCAGCCCGAGGACCACCCCGAGGACCTGAAAACCGACCAGAGACCGCCACCCGACTCAAGGAGTTAGCCGCCGGGAGTCACTATCCGGAATATGTAAGCAAATTGTATTTTTCCTATGTTTACCTGCCCTGCTATGGTATATGTCTGGCCGTTTTGAACTTTGGCAAGACAGTACGACCACAGCGTTGTCGGCGAAGGTTTGGCTGGGTGTCCCACCGCCCTCGTTCGATGAACGTTGTCCGTCACGTCAACCGAACTGCTGGATTGGCTGGGTGTCCCACCGCCAGCAGAAGACGTTGAGTGCAGGCTCGTACGGCAGCAGCGTTATCGGCGACGGTTTGGCTGGGTGCTCCACCGCCCTCGTTCGACGAACGTTATCCGTCACGTCAACCGAACTGCTGGTTTGGCTGGCTGTCCCACCGCCAGTGGAAGTCGTTGAGTGCAGGTCCGTACGGCAGCAGCGTTATCGGCGACAGTTTGGCTGGGTATCCCACCGCCCTCGTTCGACAAACGTTGTGAGCCCCTTTACTGACACTGCTGGTTTGGCTGGGCATCCCACCGCCAGTAGAAGACGTAAAGGTGTCGAAGTGTACAGCAGCAGCGTTGTCGGCGAAGGTTTGGCTGGGTATCCCACCGCCCAAGCTTGATAAACGCTGTAAGGCACAATAACCGAAACCGCTGGTTCGGCTGGGCACCCCACCACCAGTAGAAGAAGTTGTGTGTCGGCTGTGCAACGACGGATAGACCCTCGAAGTTTGGCTGGGCACCCCACCGCTTCGAGAAGAAATCTGTCTGCCACCCCGCAGTTGAACTCGCACCTCGTCCAGACTTTGCCTCCTGTTCACCAACAACATCATTTTCCTGACTACCGTTTGCTTATTTATGCCTGTTATAAACTGCTTTTCTTGGCTTTTCTCCTGGCTGGTCGCATTTTCGCTTAATTTCCGTCGCTTTGCTAGAAACTACCGCCGATATCTATTTGTAAAATTAGAGTAACCCGTAATTATTTTTCTGTTTCAGAACCATTGGGGACAATTTATTTATTAATTATTTATTACTCTAATTTATTAATCTTATTTTTCCCTTTCTAGCACCGACCGAAATTTAAAACCGAATATTATTTTGGCATACCGTTTTCTTAAAGTCTTAGATTGTTTATTAAATAAACCAAACGCCAAAGACTCCGTTTTTGTACCGTACCGATTTTTGAGTCCTGATATTTGACTATGTGCTAATTTGTACTTATTCACAGCACCGGAAAACCGAATAGGCATATTAAATCCGTCGTAAATAATTGCTCTAACCCATTTTTGTTATTCTTACACCGCTTGTAATACATTCCTGAATTTTAGTTAGTTATAATAATTGTAATTAGAATCTATTTTACTTTTGTTTTGTTTGTTTCGAATTCCGTAGGCCTTATAATAAATCTAGTAAACATATTTCCAGTTTGTATTCATTTTTAACACCGACAAAGTTGATAACATTCCGATCAGTAAAAACGGGTCTGCTTATCTTTTTGTGACCTACACTGACAAGACCGTTTATTTTAAAAGGAAAATAACACTACACTCAGAGAACAACTTTGATTAAAAGTAAGAGAAATATAACAGACCCCTGGAATTAAACTTTCTTCACTGCAGCTATCCCGAGTACTTACTCTAAACCGAGGGTAGGTTTCACGTGGAGTTTCCCCCACGTAAAAGATAGGGAAACTGGCGCCCGAGACAAAAACCGAACAAAAAGATTCAATCCGGAGTACGTTCCTGTGACGTACTCCGGATGTACTGTGCCAACCACCGCTGCCGATAAACTAGTAGTCAAGGGTCGTCATAAAATTAGGCGTCCAAATAGGGATGTCGGTGACGTCAATAAATCCAGAAAATTAGAATTCGCAATTGTGAATTAAGATTCCGTTTAGAGTTGGTAGTATACCGGGGGCAGCCACAAGTAACGTCTGAACCGAACAGTCACCACCGGAAAATCAAAACCAAAGTGACCGAGTAAAGTACGTTACAACTAAATGAAAATAATTTACTAAAGAGCAATTTAATATCAATAAATGATAAGACACAGCCAACAAAAACTGGTGACGATAAAAAAAGCCTGTAAAACCTCCTGCAAATATTAGAAGCCAAGAAAATTCGCAAACGACTGAAAAGGCTCTTTCTGCTGGTTTGTTAAATGCTCAGACTAAAATGACAATGGATAAGTATATTCATATACAGGATGATTCGAAAGCGACGTATTCGGGGATTGCAAATCAAAGACAGCCCTTAATGAGGAATGGGTGGAAATTAGACATAATAAGAAAGCTAAACGAGGGATTAACACTATCAAGAAAAAGACAATTGTGGGGAAAAACTCCAATGCTGCTGACTCCCTAAAGGGTGTACCGAAGCAAGTCGATTTACATGTATATAGGCTGGCGCCTAATACAGATGTGGCTACACTTAGAGAATTTCTGAAGGTGAGCTTTCCAGAAGTGACATGCCAGGCACTTACTCCAAGGTACCCGGACTTGTACTCCTCATTCAAAATTAGAATCTTTGAAAAAAATTTCGGCAAGGCTATGGACCCATTACTGTGGCCAGAGGATGCATGTATCAGATTTTTTTTATACAGGACCGAACACCGAGCTCAAGCAGTGAGTGTTGGGAAGACTGTAAATGTTAATGATAGATATTCTTTTAAAAACTTACTTAAAGATGATACAATCAATTTATTTCATATAAATGTTCAAGAACTGACGAACAAGGTAGACCTGATTAATTTATTTCTTTCTGAATATAAAATAAACATTTTTTGTGTTTCGGAACACTGGTTAACTGAATCAACTATGTTATATCGGTAATTAATGTACATAATTTTTTTCTTGCTGCATCCTTCTGTAGAAGAGTAAAAGACAGGGGCGGAGTTTGTATTTTTGTACACAGGACCCAAGAAACGGGCCGCCGCAGCGACAGTACCGTCAGGAGGAACCGCCGTCACAACAACCACGTTATAACAATAACGGACCGCCGCCGCGACGCGACGACTGGCGCCAGAGGCAGCAGGAGGAACGCCCGAGGTCACCACCTCGAGGGCGACCTCCGCCGAACCAGCCTACGAGGGAGGCCCCCAGGCCACCTCCAGGCCCGCCACGTCCTAGCCCGCGGCAGCGCGTCGACGACGACGAGCCACGCCGATACCAGGGAAACGCCCCGGGGGTCGTGACACAGGCCCAGCCACGACCCGGGCCCCCACGACAATAAATCCGACTACAAACGTCGAAGAATGCGNTAAAATTCTGCTGGTGGTGTACTCTACCGGCAATTCGGAAATTTAAAACTGCTGGCCTATTCCAGGAGCGGTCTGTGGCGATAGCTATTTTGTCTGTGGTTTAATCATACAGGAAACAACTACTTTGTCCACTAAAACGTATAATAATAATCTCAAAAATTAAAAATAATGTATTTCTTTGAAAACTTACATTATTTGTAGTGGTTATAAAGCCAGTTACAGATTTACGTTACACCTACTGGCCTTTCTCTTGGGCTAGACTCTATGGAGGCGGATACGCTATCAGAATCTGTTGATGATTTCAGTTCTTGGTGTTAGTTCTAAAATCAGGGTAGGCCTGGGTGTTCTGATAGCGGATTCGCTCCCTTATAACCCGATAACCATAAGGGCAAGGTAACGATTCCTAACTAACACTAAGGAAGTGTACTATAGGAGTATGTAAGAGTCGGTGACCATTAAAGAAATATAAATTTTTTAAAGTGTCATAAAACTTCGCTGGTTCATCAAAATATATGTCAACATAATAAAATATGTCAAGAAAGCAAAAAATTGTTGAAATTTAAAAATAAGCATTTTATCGCGGAGGAAACGGTATTGTAAATATAGGTTTACTATTGGAAATCAAACTAATGATTTAATTGGATTAAATATAAATGCTGCAAGTAGGTAGATTTTGCTATACCTACGAACTCAACAACTACAAGTCTAATAATTCTAACATGCTTTTGATTTATAGAATAATAAAATCACACTCTCAGGTAAAACTACAGACCGTACAATATTTGTTGGGATAGAATTCCAAGAAAAAGTAAGCCAATAAAGTTCTCTTATCGACACTACTGTAACATTTCACACAACCACTATGATGTCATGCATCAGGTGACCTAACTCGCGCCTGAAATTTTCCGCGTTATTTCCAGAATATTAAAACAGATACATAAAGTAAATATATAAAATAGATTATTTGGATTAAAATGTGTTTTTATTTCATTTACAGTACAGTAGTGTACAAATCATAAATAAACTAGAGATAATATAATTATAAACTTGCTGGTACAAAAAAGGAATAAAGAAAGGAACGTGCATTTTCTACCTAGAGTGTCGAATGCGGTTAATTCCAGGAAAGTGACGCAGGGATCTTCTTGAAATTCTATCTAAACAAATATCGTACGGATTGTACCGTCTTGTAATAGTTAGTTAAATTGTATGATACCAAACGGCTGTACTAGGTGAAACATTATAATTGTTATATTTAAAACTCTTTCTAAAAACGTGGTTGTGTACCCGCATACCATACAGAGAGTTCATTTAGGGGAATATCAAATGACTATTAAAAGGTATCTACTCCCGTTCTTTATTAATGTACAGATAAAGAAATAATAATCATTTGTAGATTTCGATCAAAAATTTTTTTCGATACAATATTTGAACGGTTTGTTCAAATTCTAAAATTTTTCGTTGGAACTATAAACTGTTGGCAAGCATTGGACTGACATTCTTAAACATTCGGAAATTCCAGGGCCGGTCTTAAAAAATTTAATTAAAAGAGTTGATATCAAAAAAATTCCTGTATGCGATTTTCCTTAACGTAACTATGAATTTTGAAAGTGGACAAATAGTCATTTGAGTTGTTTCACATTTGTTAAATTTTTTGTAAATAAGCAATTTTGACTATTAGACTGTATTGTCATTTCATCTAATTTACAGGGCAGTATATAATAATTTTTAATATTTTGTTTTTAGAACAATAAGAAACGAAAAAAATGTTTATTTTAAATTATCTCATACGTTTATTTTACAAAATAAATTTGTTTGTACTATACACAAAACCAGACAAATTCGGAAACCAATGAAAAACAGAACAGTAGTCTATTTCCTGTTTTCGTTAATCTTTCGTTAATATCTCATCCGTTTTCAAATGAAGGATACGCAGACATGATTTCTCTTCTGCAGTTTTGTAGTGTGAATGATAAAACTGCCAGAGGGTATCAACAAAGATTTCCTAAGCGTCGTATTCCAACTCATCCAATGTTTGGACTAGCCTTTAATTACACTACCCCGCAAAAAGCCATGGACCTTGTTATTCGTATTTTTCTGGGATCGCTGAATCCGAATCCGGTGTCCATTTGACCCCATCAGGCCTGGGTTAAGGTCAATTCAAAGTCAAATGTAGAAAATCAATTTCCAACAAAATGAGCCTACATAATACATACGTTTTTGGGGTTGCCGAATCCGAATCCGCTGTCCGTTTGACTCGATTAGCTTTGGGTTAATGTCAATTCAAGGTCAGGGCAGAGAATCAATTGCCAACAAAGTAAACCTACATATCTATACGATTTTGAGGTCGCTGAATCCGAATCCTGTAGATATATAGAATCATATACATAGATAGATATATTGGTTTACATTGTTAGCAATTAATTTTCTATATTTGACCTTGAACTAACCTTAACTCAGACCTAATCGTGTCAAATGGAAACCGAACTGGATTCAGCGACCACGAAACATCACTAAATACCATAGTCTTCTCTTTCGGACCTCCCACTTTTTCTTTGTTGGGCTTTATCTATCTGCGAGAAAATGGCACATTCCCAAATTATTTATTGTTGTAACCTTATCAGAACCAATCCTTTGCGTCGTCCGAAAAATTAATAACACATTGAACAATAACAAAAATGTATAGGAGCATTTGTGTTCAATTTAGCGAGCCTATTGTGACTTTTAATAATTTCTCTTTTGGCTTCTGAATTCGTCTTCTTTTTGCGGTTGTATATTTTAATTCTGTTTTGCATTTTTTCTTATTATACATACACATTTGGTTTGGAAATTCAAAAACGTATGAAAAAATTTAAAATAAACATGAAATTTTAATTCGATTTTTTTCGTTGCAATGTCTACACTGACAATTAGAGGTCACATTCTGTGGGTCACCCATTTGACCGAGTCTCTGTGTAATTAAAGAGACTCGCTAGTGTAGTATATCCCCAAAGCTCTAGGTTGCACAATTCGGAAATATGGGAGAAATATCCCTCGAAATTAATATGCTCACCATTTATACAAGTTTAAAAAATTCGACCTTATGAAAGCTGTCGTGGCGAAATAAGAACGTGAACGTTTCTTAGCACGGTGAAACTCTACCCGTGTATTTATTTTGTTCTTCTCTCCTCCTTTCTTCATAGAAAATATTTATTTGTCTTATCTGAGCAAGTTAGATCCAATGTCTTTTCATTGTACTGGTTAGACAAGTTTTCTCCAGAGTTTAAGACAGTTTATAAGCTGACAAGATATTCAGGAAAAAAACACATTTTTACCAGTTTACGAACTTTACACGCTTGTTGTACATGCAGAAAATTGTTGACGGCACTAAAACATAATCACACCCCACAGTATGCTTTTAAGAAACACAATTATTAAGTATTTAAAAAAAAAAATTTTGAAAAAAATTGATAGATACATTTCCCGATGGGTGACTATGTTTCTGTGATATTTAACAATGGAACGGAAAATTAAAAAACCCTTATATTGCAACATTTATATAATTTGAATACTATCGCAAAGATAGTGATAGGGACAGTAGTCACTCTATGATTTTTTTTCTTCCCCAGGGACGCAGATTAACATTTTTGAGTGGTATTTACACTGACTTTACGTAATATACAGGATGACCAAGTGAAAACGAAACAGAGTTATTTTCAGGAACTGCGTCACGATTGTAGAAAAACGCTCAGACCCGCCGATTTTAGATTAAAGGGGGACATTCTTTGCTGGTATTTTTGACTCCGCCACTTTCACACCAAGTAAGGGTAAGCATCACCCCGAAATATTTAAATGGCATTGGGTGTTGAGTAATATTTCTTTTGAAAGCTATTATAATTCTTTTTACAACAGACTTTAAATTTTATAATTCCGCCCAATACCTACTTTGAAAAAAAAACATTTTAAAATTTAAATTATGTTTAGTTGCTTAATTGCTACTTAGTTCATAAAATGTTCAAACTGATGACCGCCCGCTTACATACAAGAATAAAGATTTTGTTCGAAACGTTCGCGCACATTCCGAAGCATTTCCGGAGTGATTCGACGGCATTCGTCGACGATTCTTTGACGCAAATCTTCCAGCGACGCTGGCTGTGATTTATAGATTTTACTTTTCAGGTATCCCCACAAAAAGAAATCAAGGGGCGATAAATCCGGTGATCGCGGAGGCCACTCAATACTGCCTCTTCTCCCAATCCAATTCCGTAGAAAACGTTGGTCCAAATACTGACGGACAATTAACGCATAATGCGGAGGAGCACCGTCCTGTTGAAAAATCAAATGATCTTCATCATACTCTGGAACATTTTCAATAATATCAGTCAAGGCAGGGTCAATAGCGTCTTCCAGTAATTGCAAATACATTTGGCCAGTCAAATTACCAGGTAGAAAAAAAGGACCCACCAGCCGGTCACCGAAAATTCCAGCCCATACATTTAATTTTTCCGGTTGCTGTGTATGCACCTCGTGAAAAACTCTTGGGTTTGAATCGGACCAATAGCGGCAATTGTGAGGATTTACCATCCCTTTCAAGAAAAACTGTATTCATCAGAAAAACAGATGTTAAAAAGGAACTGTGGATCGTTCCCTGCTCGCTCAATCATTATTTCGCAAAATTGCAAACGGCGGTTATAATCATCCTCATGAAGTTCCTGAAGTATATTGTATGGATGGAATTTATTCTTCTTCAAAATGGTTTGTATGCTAGTTCGATTAATCCCAGACGCAGATGCCAGCTACCTCGTACTTAATGTAGGATCAAGATGAACTTGTCCCAAAACTGCAACTTCACTAGCTTCTTTAACTATAGGTTTTTCAATTTCTCGTTTTTTATTGGCTACGTTCCCTGTCTCTTGAAATTTTTTTACTAACTCTAGAACATACTTCCTCCTGATATGTCGATCTTGATGTTGTTCATTACATAGCTGAGCTGTTCTATTCGCACATTTATTGTTCATAAAGTAAAGTGAAATGAACCCTTTCCCTTACGTTCATTGTGTGCGTATAGCATTCATTTCTGTTTTTTACAATTGCGTTTCTTTTTACGAAAGTTGTAACAAATCGCCAAAAACCAATGTAACGCTAGAAATAATAAATTTATACCATTGGCGTACTTAACTCGAATGACTGACATTTTTACCGTTACCAATTGTTTGTTCATAAGTTTCAACTTTAAAATCAAAATTCTTAATAAGTATTGGGCGGAATTATAAAATTTAAAATCTGTTGTAAAGAGAATTGTAAGGGATTTCAAAAGAAATATTACTTAACCCCCAATGCCATTTAAATATTTTGGGGTGCATGTGGCGGAGTCAAAAATACCAGCAAAGAATGTCCCCCTTTAATCTAAAATCGACGGGTCTGAGCGTTTTTCTACAATCTTGACGCAGTTCCTGAAAATGGCTTTGTTTCGTTTTCATTTGGCCACCCTGTATAAGAATGCGATGCAAAATGACATGTTCAAATGGGAATATTACATGGAAAAGAATCCTAATAATAATAAAAATGTAATTTATAAATTGCTTTGAGCGGTAATAGGTCTGTATATGAAGTTATCGATTAAAGAAATCTCTTTTTCTTGTTTATAAAACGCTGGTCTTGAAATATCATTAAAAATGACAAGTTACGGCATAAATGAAATAAAAATTTTTTTCAAGTCAAATAACATTTTAAAGAAGCAAAACCTTTTTAAAAATTGACTCTAGTTGACCGACTCTAGCTCTTCTTTCTTTCACTTCATTTTTCCCGTGTCCTCAAAACTGCAATTCGAAGACAGATTGCAATCTCAGTCCATTCACTAACTACGTCTAATTTATGCAGGTGACAACGTGGACTGTTGGATGGAAATCCAGCACGGCAAAGGACCGTGGGCACCTCCCGTTAGCGGCATCGTCCCGTTGGGTTCCACGCTGACGCTAGTCGTCGCAATAAACGACTACAGAGGTATGTTTATGAATGTTTAATTGCAAAGTAACCGCTTTTATGTAAATGCTGCCGGTCAAAACAATGTCTGACACGACGTTGATTCGACATATCTTGAATAACTTATCGCGCATTACTGCAGTTGGAAGTTCGATGTCGATGACATTGTCTGGACCAGAGTAAGGTTGTGGGAATGTTCCAATATTAAAAAAAATACATATCAAAAATGTTTACAGCTGTAACATTGTTTAATACTACATTGTCTGAAGTTATTTATTTGTTTCTTCTGTGTTTACTAGAAATTTTGTTTTTTTTTTTTGAAAAAACTGATTAAGAAATAATAATAATAATTAATTATAATAATAAAACAAAATTAAAAATTTTTGATATTTATTTTATAATTTGTAGCACCTTCATTGCACGAAAAATACACTTATTCATCTCGGCATGAAAATTTCGAACAGTGTAAGTGGTAAAGTTGACTAAATTAGCTAAATATCTCGAATATCTCTAACATATGTTGTTATATACGAGGTATGTCCACAAAGTAAAACCAAGGTATTGGAGGCAGAACACGCGCTCATTTGTTTCATCCAGTTGAGAACTGTTGTTGTAGTGGCGCGTTGAAATGAATTCCGCCAGATGCGAGGTGAGGAGCATAATCCTGTTTCTTCTTCAGATATTTCACGAAATAAATAAATCGCACTAATGTATATAAGTGGTGTCGTGAGTATTAAACTGGCAGAACGAATGTTCATGGTGAACAAAAAAAAAATTATGGGAACTGTGTTCAGGGACCGTAAAGAGATTCTCCGCATTGACTTTTTGTCCCAGGGGGAAACAATTAATGCTGCGCGGTACTGTGAAACCCTGTAAACACTACTGGGGGCCATACGAAACAAAACAAGGGGAATGTTAACGAAGGCAGAGCCAACGCTATAAAGCAACTCTTGGACTCATTCAGTTGGAACATCATCAACCACCCCACTCACAGTCCTGATCTGGCACCTTCTGATTTTCATCTTTTCTTTTCTCTGAAAGCGTTTATGGGTGGAAAAAGGTTTTCGAAGTCCACAGTTCCGTGAAACAACGAGCCTGAGAGGCGGCGAGGTTTTTTTTTGACGGAGGTATCAGAAAGCTCGTCCCTCGGGCTCACAAAGTTCATTGAGGTTGAAGGCGACTATGTTGAAAAATAGTGTTTGATGTACCTACCTTTCGGAATATGTGAATTTTTTGATAAATATACTACTATTTCGATTTTTTAAAAATTAAGTACTCTTTGTGGATATGTCTCGTACAAATACCCTTTATTTTTCTAGCAGAGTCTTTAATGAATATATAAAGCATTTGGTACTTTTAAAAAATTAAAGTAGTTATGTGCCTGTGAAAAGTGGAACACCCTGTATAACTGAAAATGTTTTTAGTTTGTGGAAAAAGCTTTTTCACCTTTCACGCCGTCCACGTAGTAGTAGGACAGGTTCTATAAGTTGTGACATTTTTCAAAGACTTTTCACTTTGCATCTAGAAAAATGTCATATATACAGGACCAGGAATCGCCACTATAGATATCTCAGAAAGTACTGATCAGATAAATCTGAAAATTTGGAAACCTAGCAAAGGCAGGATGGCCAATACAGTTAAAATATTTAGAATTTTATAGCGCTTCCGGTTATACCGGAAGCCGACACTAACTTTCTTATTAAAAAAAAAATATACTATATATTATGGCATTTTCGGATTCTACGTGAAATTTGAGGGCCACTTTATTAAATATTTCTTACACCTAGGAGTTATAGATTTTGAGATATTAATTTTTAAAGAAAAAGTTTGACATACAAGGGTCCACGGAGATGCTAGTAATTCTTTTCAAGAGCGTAATATCAAGTAGATTTTTGGTATCTGTAAAGGGCATGGGTAAATTATGTTATACCAACAAATTAAGCCATTTAATACTAGGTGTTTCATTTTTGCTGTTACATTTTGATAACTTCAAACAGCTATAACTTAGTTAACTTAAATGGAACACCCTGTATTTTTTACTCTATCGTGTGCAGATTGGAACCTTTCAAGCCATATAAGCATTGTTAGGGTTGCCTTTATTACTTTTAGAGATATTTTCAATTTTCCATTATTCGGACAATTTTTCTCGTATCAGATCTGTTATCGTGTAACATAATTTAGTGTTACCCATGCCCTTAGAAGATAAGAAAGTTAATGTCGACGTCCGGTATAACCGGAAGTACCATAAAGTTTTAAATATTTCCGCTGTGTTGGCCCTACTGCCTTTGCTACGTTGCCAAATTTTCATATCTATCGGATAAGTACTTTCCGAGATATCGATAGTGGCGATTCCTGGTAAAACACCCTGTATAGGATCTTCTGCAACCATAGTACGTGTCTAAAATTATTTTTCTGTTTTTATTAGTACCTTCTGAAATTTGTTATAGGTAGGTACTAACTTTTTGACCCCTTGTATAAAATCTTTGAAAATAAATGTTAATATTTAAGTTTTCAAATTAGGTAAACGTAATCTTATTAGGTTGGTTACTTTCTTGCATAAATTGGAATACTGTTTTTCTTAAAAACATTATTGAAAATTGAATGTAATATCTCTCATACATTGTGCAGTGGGTTTTTACCCATGTTTCTACGTCAAACACCTCATAAGAAAGCGCGTTAATCTGCCTAAGAAGTCAGGAGTACTCAATGGAGAATTTTAGGTCAATTCATATTTCAGTTAAAAAGAACTAGTTTGCTTGAAAGTATAAAGACACACATTATCGATGTACATATGTTTTGCTACACAGTTGTGTATGATACTTCATTGGTCAATTTTTGCAAACAGCAAATAGTTGAATGTGCACATTTTTTGATCCATTGTTGCTTTGCACGCATCTTCCGTCTGTCGCAAGGTTTTTATTTTTCACTTATGGCATTAAGGTCGCTGCGGCGCTTTACCAACTGTTTCTACAACAGCTGGTCTAATGGTAGATATGAGCAAGTTGTAAAACGTTGAATATCGGCTCTTTATCGCGGACTAACTGAAATGGCTCATGGTAATTTTAACAGTACTGCGTCCAATTCTGAAGTAACTTATTAAGGTGATAAATTGGACTTTCGAAATGTTTCAGTTAGCATACCTACTGTGTGATAAAATTAAAGGATTTTTTTCTGTTTCTACTGTTAGAAATGTCGCACCTCTTCTGAGAAAACTGTTGACTGATAACTGAGTAAATACAAAATTTGAAGGAAATTGAGAAATATGTTGAACATTCCATGTCAAACCGGCTACCTTTTTGCTTAAAATTTATTACACCCAAAAACGGTCAATAGGGTGCCAACATTTTCTTTGAATTGTCTACTTTCGAATGCTACTGGCTGTTTTTGAAAAAAAAGTGGGCTGGCTCAATATGGCGACAGTAAGCTGAAAAAAACATGGTCAAATTTTAAAAAAATGTAGTCATTAGTATTTGAGTTCAAAAAACTGTAAAAATTAACACAAACGATACACATGGTGTCCCGGTACTTTTTACAAAAAAGTCGAGTACAAATAGATGAAATCAAAATAATATTTCTTCATATTAATTTTTTTCATATGGGCCTTCGTTAACAAGTTACGGGCCCTCAAAGGTGAAAATTAAAATGTTGTTTTTATTTTTTAGTCTCTAAACTATTAATTTCAGAATGATACAAATTTGGTGATCGATAAACATAGGTACCTACCCTTTGTTTTTGATGTTGTAACTGAAGAATCTGCCAACGAAAATACCCTCTTCGTTTAACTTGGTAAAATTAACAGTTTAGGAAATATTTGTGATTTTATGTCACAGTGGACATCGAGCGGCTCTTCCTCCATTTTTTGTTATTGTCCATTAATTTTTAATTGGACATAATTACTATGTTAGAACCGTACATATTTTTAAAATAAGAGCCTAGAAAATCTTACTGCCTGCTAATGTAATTTTCACTAAAAGGATTTGCAAACACACTTTACATAACACAAAATAGAAAAAAAAAAGAATAAGTTAAAGTTAAAGAAAAATAATTTAAAAGAAAGAAAACTATCAAAAACATTTTCAATATGGGCACTTTCCACCTCCACACACTTCCTAAGTCTACGAATGTTATTTGTTTGTACAGGGTGGTTGATTTTCGATAATTTTATAGGGTACAGCCAAAACGGTGATAGATACAAAAAATCTGATATCGATGTCCCGTCCTCTTTTTTGAGTTTACTTCGCTGGTAACAAAAGGTCTTGGCTAACTTGATTAGTTTTAGATATACAGGGTTTTTTTGAAAAATGGCCCATTTACATTAACCTCTCTATCTCCGTTGTCATTCAAT